TGGCCCATAAGCTTGGTGAAAGGTACTGATATTGAGGAAAACCAGTAAGATGAAGGGGTTTTTAAGAGCTGACGGATTAGCTTTGACTACAGTGTGGTGGTGGGTAAGTATTTGAAAGGATTTTCCTAGAGCAAGGAAGTCAAATCTTTCTCCTCATCCTCAGTAATACTGGGAACCAGAGAGAACTCAATCAGATTGAAAATGGGAAGGCCAGTTAGGCGGACAGTGCCAGAAGGGCCATCTGGGATGAAGTGGTTCAGATAGTCTTGTGGTGAAGGTGGTGACGGTGAGTTTGCATTGGTAAAGTTGGAGGGAGCTGACAAGATTGTACATAGGGAAGTGGGGGGTCTGTGAACACATTGGGGGGCCTTGTGAAGTAGGCTCAAACTCTCTAGGGCAAATGTTGGGGAGGAGCGAGTTTTTACAAATTTACCAAAAGATGAGAGTTCTATTTTGTTTAGGAAAGCCCTCCCTACTGTTTCAAGGGTCCCCCAGTATCTTTAGAGGTGAAGTCAAAGTCCAATGTAAACTAGACCAGCAGCAGGATAGAGGATGGTTGGTTAACAATTTGAGAAGTAATGGCATACCCAGCAAGGAGACAGAGAGAAAGACCCTGTAGAAACTGGAGGGGGCATGGGTTGGGGATTTAGCTCAGTGGTAGAGGGCTTGCTTAGCAACCACAAGGACCTGGGTTCGGTCCTCAGCTCTGGAAAAACAAACAACTGGAGGGGGCACTTGGGAGCCTGAAAAATCCAGTCTCTCCTCTGGGGCTATTTTTATTTCGAGACAGGGTCTTACTGTGTAGCTCTGGCTGTCCTGGAACTCACTATATAGACCATGCTGGCCTCCAACTCACAGAGATCTGTCTGCCTTTGCCTCCTGAGTGCTGGGGTTAAAGGTATGTGCTACTATACCCAGCCAGGGCTAGGCTTTTAGAGATTCTTTTCTCCCTAATTTAGGGTTGGTCAGTTTGAACAAGGACAGGATGACTGACTGATTGGCCCACAGCTGTGGCATCTGGTTTGCCTTGAACTCATCAGCCTGTCCATTAGCAGGGGGCCTTACTTGCAGGAGAAAAGCCTACCTAGTCAGGGCTTCTTTCCCTACCTGTTTGCCTATCATGGAATCTGTCTAACTCCTCATCCCTCAATCCCCACTCAGAGGTCACTCTAATTGCTGTTAGGGGTTTTGTGGTGCAGACTGCTCTAACTGCTTCCAAGCTATCAAAAGGGGGGATGTAGAAAGGGCAGCATTTCGAGTGCCTCAGAGGAGAGTTGATCTAGTAGGCCATGATTAAACTAAATAGATGGCAAAGATCCAGACATAAGACAGCCATGTGATGACAGTGTGCATCCTGGGAGTGTGCTATGTGAGTGAGAGGACATCGGTAACATACAGAAAGTGAGACTGTTAGGATTACTATAGGTTTTGCTTAAGTCTTAGTTAAATAGTTGGAGAAATTTTACCATATGGTAGGAAGAGGACAAGAAAACCATATAAAAACCTCTGTCAGCTTTGTCATAGGTATTAGCAAGGCTGATTTTTTTTGTCATCATTATAATAAAGATGCAAGGCTATTAGTTTGGCTCAAGAGCTTGAGACTTCTTATTGACAATCTATAAGTTCAGAAGCCAGCCATTTGATCTCCTTTATTCTAACCTTGTGGGGAACATAAAGAGATAAAGTTAATAAAAATTTATCAACATCACGCTTAACATACTTTTGTTTAGCAAGGTGAAATGTCATCATGCAGCTTAATGGACTGCATACCAGAGGCTTGTAGAAGGATAAGTAACTGCAGAAACAGCTGTTTGTTTCCTCAGACTCCTGCGTAAGGAACAAACACCTGGAAGCTTTGGAAGAGAAGTCAGTTAAAGGCAGTTTCTAATTGACAACTTAAAGGAGAAGTGGAATCCCATCAGGTTTTTTTTTTTTTTTTTTTTTTTTTTTTTTTTTTTTTTTTTAATAGGCTATTTTCCAGCAACTTACCAAGGATTAGGGTGTACAGGGACATATTGAAGTTGTGAGAATCACCAGTGAGAACTAGTAATGTGTGAGGAATGCAGTCCTTTGGACTATTAGAGAAGCATACTGATAATGTTAATCCTGTTTATTCTTTTCTGCTGGGTATTTTAGGTGATGTAGGTTGTGAAATTTAATTACATTTTTTTTTTACTGTTAAGACCAGTTGAAGTGGTCCTCAGGGGTCACTTGGGATTGGGTGGAACCTCTGGCTCCTCTAGTCCTTTTATTTTTAACCAGTTAGTCTACCTATATCAGGATAAGTCAAAGGCCTTATTTGAACATTGTTTTATTTGGAGGCATGAGGGAAATTTTCTTCTGTGTTGACCTTCCTTTTTGTATTCTGGACACTGGTTAGCATTTACTAGATGGGATCTTCATGGCTTCCCTGAACAAGAGAACAGGTGACTGACTCCCCATGGTCACAGAACATTTTAAGAAATGCTCCACAGTCCCCTGGGATCTAATTGACCTGGGAAGACAAGGGGGAAATATTTCCTATTTAATCCTTCTAACGACATCAGTATAGGCCTCCAAATGTAGTCATTGAACATCCAGAAGAGCACTTAGTAATTTTATAACAGTCTGATAAATGAACTTTGATTAGACATATAGTTTAGCTAGTCCTTTTAATTGTTGATCTTTGAGCTTAAAAACAATGTAAGGAATTTTTGTGGACCTTTTAAAAATTATTATTTATAGAAAGGTTTCGAGGTTTAAAATTATCTTCCTAAGCTTTTGAGGGTTTAACTTGCTCCAGCTGTCTGAGAGGCAAGCCAGGGGGTATCCTGAGAAGTGTATCACTTTTCTTTTAACTTTGTCTGTAGTACAGATCAAGGTGGGAAGTGCTGCATTTGAAGAGATAGTGGCTAGTTCCCTTCTGTCCTTATCTGAAGGACAGAGCCAGATGAGCAGCACCTGAAGCTGAAGAGATAGAACCGAAAAAAGGACTACACAATGCTCAAGGTCCTGTTGTTTGTGGTGATGTAAACCAAAGTAACCTCTTGCCTCATGCAGAGGGGTGTAGGGCCCCAGCATGTCTCAGGTAGCTTGAACAATTGATGGCTAATGAGAAAGTGCCAGGCCCTTGGCTTTCCATAAGTGCTAAGAGTTCCCTGCAGGTCCTGGGCTTTGAGGGGGTGGGGGTGGGGCGTGGATAGGGAAGGGTCGTGTTGTTCCAGATAAAATAGAAAGAGGAGAAATTCTTCTGCCATAGGGTCTCCTGATCTTGTGAAAGTCTATAGCACTTAAAAAAAATTAGGTAGGAGGCAAGCACTGTAATCACTTATGGTAATCATTTTAAAACCATTTATTGAAAGAGGACCATCTGGACTGGGAGAGGCTTTCGGTAATTTATCCTCTATAAGTTGGATTTAAGTCTCTGTAAGCTAGAGAATAAAACAGTAACAACAGACATCTAAAAGAACTCAGAAGGCAATGCCCTCTTAACATTTTTTTTGTAGTAACTGAACGGTGAAAGCAAAAGCAAGGCTACCCAGGGTGCCACGGGGCAGAAAGAAGCAGACCAGTGTGGAGCAGTGCTGTTAAGGTGGTGGGGCAGAGGGTTCCATCTTAGAGGAAAACGGCTCTGGGGATACCCATCAGCCATAGCAGGCAGTAAGACCCACTGGCAGCAGCTCGTCTACCACCCGGCAACTTGTTATTTGAGTCTTGCCCTGTTGGGAACCATTTTACCAATATTCATCCCTGGGGCACTGTGAATCTCAAACCATTAGCTCCCTTTGTTAACAGGCCAGTGTTGGGAGCATATGACTGGGAAAAGGCTTAAGTCCCTCTTAGCAATCAGTAAATATGTCATGTAAACACTCCCAAAATGAAAACAAAACAAAAATCTCAGAATTAAGAAATGCTTGGAGGTCTGGTTTACTTCCTTAGTCTGATGTAAAAGGGGATGCAGTGACAGACACTGTTGCAACCTTTATCTCCATTGACCTTAGCCTAAGAACAGCCTTCAGGGCTCCTTTAGCCTAAATGTCCTATAGATGTGAAGATGGAGCATGTGGAGGAAAAGGAAAAGTTTGAGCTCATCCTCTAAGACGCCCCAATGCTGCCTAGTTGGTGTGATAAGTGCCTTCAAAATTTCAAGAATGTTACTGTAATACCTGATTTAGTAGGTCTAGAGTTGGGCATGCCATGTGCATTTCCTTCAAGCTCCCAGATAATGGCAGATCTGAGACTTACTTTAGGAGTAGCAAGGATCAAGAGGTTAGCTGAATCCCTTGCTGAAAGTTACATTTTAAAAGTTGGCACAAAATCATTTATATTGTGTATATTATGTGTACATTAATGTGATTTCATTTTCACCATCATTGAATATTTGAAAATGCATATTGAAAGTCATTGACAAAATAAAAGCATTCGTCTGGCCGTATAATCACACTGACTTTTTAAATTCATTACTTGTTTGGGTTTAAGCCCTTCATAAATACACTGTGGATTCTGCTTGACAGTATCCTATTCCAAGCCACCATCTGATTAGTGTATAAAATTCCCAGTTGGTACCCCTGTTATTATGGGATGGGCTATGGAAAGTCAGGTATATCAGCTGGCTTCTAGACCCAGCTTTGTTGGATAAGTCTTGAATTTTGAGTTCCACACATAGGAAATAGAACTAATTGTTTCTTTGTAGGATGGTTGTTAATATTGTTGTATGTAAGATGAGAAAACATTTGCCTATTGTGTGTAATAGAGAGTTCAATTAAGTGGTTTCAAGTCAGAGAGGAGAGGGATTGAGGATGAAAATATGCTGCAAAATGTTCAACTATTTTAAATGGCTGCTTCATTTGTTCAGACTTTTCTTCTGAAAGTAAGTACTGATTAAAAGTTCTTAACTTCCTCAAATACAGGTTGCTGCTTGGCTTATGTCCCTTTGAATTTCCCGTGTGCTGTAACTGTGAGGAGGAACTTGGCGAGAGGATAGCAGTGTTGACCATCTCTACCGTCCTCTTCCTTTGCAGATTACTCTTCTGCGGTTCAGAAGTTTTCCCAGACACTGCAGTCGTTTCAGTTTGATTTCATCGGGGACACTCTGACCGATGATGAGATTAATATTGGTAAGTCTTCAGCAGCGTGTGGACGTCCAACTCAGGAAGCCATTCAGACTCCACGGAATTGCCTTCTGTTCTGGATACAGAGCAGCACAGGGACCTCCTCATCCCTTTTGATCTAGGGCAAGGCCCTGGGAGGCTGCTTAAGAATGTTAAGAAAGCATCCCTTTTACCACCATTTCCCCCTCACGCCAAGCAGAGAAGAGATCTCCCGAACCTCCGCTGTGGCTAGACTGAAGGGAAACTTTTCTTTAAATCATCTAATAAGTTAACCATGAGATGTTGGACAAGTGATTTCCCTTTCAAGTCTCATTCTCGTCTTCTGCAATTACAGTTAGTAACTCTCTGAAAGTTATTACAGAGGACATTGAACAGTGGATGTGTTTATTTTTATTCTGATGAAGGTAAATAAAGCAAGGACCAGTAAACTATGTCTCTGTGCCTACCTCTTTTTGTATGTAAATTTTATTGGGTCCTAGCCACACTCTCTAAGCATTGTCTATGGGTGTTTTGTTTGGCAGAACAGCATTGGATAGTAGTAATAGTGACTGATGACCCTCCAAATTTAAGATATTAACTTTACATTCTGACTAGATTGAGTTTGCTGACCCTTGAGTTAAGCATGCATTATTTGCTGGGCTGGCCATGGTGGTGCATGTCTTTAATCCTGGCATCCAGGCCAGAAGCACGTGGATTTCTTTGAATTCCCTGCAAGCTTGGTGTATGTAGTGAGCTCCAGGCCAGCCAAAGCTACATAGTGAGACCTAGTGAGACCCTGTATTAAAAAAATATTTCCTAGATGAGAACAATGAACCACACAGCTGTTATGAGTGATAATACTACGAGTAAAAAGAAGTGATATATGCAGTTACATTTTATAATCTCAAAGATTAAAATATAAAACATTACTATAAAATCTCATTGTAGCTAATTTGAATGATATATAAATATATAAATGATGCAATTACTTATGATACTATTCATGCATAGTTAGCAGCATGTTGGGCACACTGGTATATTAACTTTTGAATATTTTCTTGTATACTTACTATTTTATTTAAATTTTTTTTCTCTTCTCTTTTTCTTTATTTTCTTGAGACAAGGTTTCTGTATGTCCCAGGCTGGCAGTGAACTTTAAAAAAAAAGAGTGATTTTGTTTTCAATTACATATTTCAATATGTCTCTGTATGTAGGTATGGGCAGGTGAGTGCAGTTCCAGAAGAGGCCAGAGAGCCAGATCCCCTGCAGCTGGAGGTGGTTGTGAGCGATCTGACATGGGTCCTGGGAACCAAAGTCAGGTCCTCTGCAGGAACAGTACCTGGTCGTAACTGCTGAGCCATCTCTCTAGTCCCTGGCTTTGAACCCTTAATTGTCCTGTCTCAGCTTCTCAAGTGCTGGGATTGAAGGCATATGTCACCATGACTGGTTCATGTATCCGTTTTCTTTGCATGGAAATTACTTCTTAATGAATATAAAATTTAAACTGGGGATATAGCTCAGTTGGTAGAGTACTTGTCAGGTATGCAAGAAGCTCCGGGTTTGATTCTAGCACTGCATAAATTTGAATGTGGTTGCACACACCTATAATCTCAGCGCTTGGAAGGCAGAAGCAGGAACATCAGAAGTTCAAATTTATCCTCTGCTGCAGTTTGAGTCCAGCCTGAGCTATGAGGGAGTTGAAGATTAGATAGTTATAGTTAAAGATTAGATAGTTATAGTTATAGTTTTCCTTGTTAAGAATTTCAGAAAAGAAACTCACTAAAGAGGTTTAAGTGTATAAATTTGAGAGACATTATAAGTTCTGTTAGTAATATAAGTAATATAAGTTAGGATAAGAAAGCGAATCAGGTACAATTTGGACTCACCAAAATAGGATAGATATGGAATTATTTTCTCTGAATTTGTCAAATGCAAATGGACTAGACATTGTTTAGGTATTTATTGCTTGTATGTATTGTACTTATTGTATATAGTTTTTCTTATATTAGTTATAACTTTTGTCCTTTTTTCTTTTTATTAGAATAGAAGGGGGAAATATGGTGATATTTCATTTGTGCTGAAATGTGATTTTATTTGTATGTTAATAAAGTTGCCTGGAGATCAGAGCTAAGAGCAAGCCATTTAGCATAAGTCTGGCAGTGGTGACACACGCCCTTAATCCAATCACATGGCAGGCAGAATCTCTATGTGTTGAAGAACACAGCCAAGCAGTGATCTGAACCTTTAATCTCAGTACCTGGAGACCATAGAGACCTGGAGGTCTGTATAGACAGGCAGTGATGAGGAAGTCATGTGGTTGGGTTTAGAACCACTGAGAAGGCAGAACAGAAAGGCAATAAAAAGATAGGACACAGGAAGAAGTTCTCTCTCTCAGGGGAAGGATGGCAGCGAGTGGTAAGATAAGGTGGTCTTGGCTCTTGGCTACTGCTTGATCTCTGGGATTTTAACTCTTTATTTGGCTCTGTTTATTATTTAATACGACCATTTAGAATTACATCATTCAGAGCTATATCGATCCTGTCTCAAATAAGTGTGTATGTGTGTGTGTGTACATATTTTTGTGTAGGCTCAAATCATAACATTTTATATTTACTTAAAATCTTATACAACAAATTTTCCATGTTGTTGAAATTTCTTCCTAAGTTTCATGAGAAAGCAAGGACATTGTTTCATTAACTGCTATTTTGCCAACACATAAAAGAATGCTAAGCATGTAGTAACTGCTGAACACATGTTTATTAAATGAGAATAATAGCTATATCAGCATTATTATATTTTACATATATTTGATATATTTATAGTTTATTTTCTATTTCACTACTTTTGAGGATTCACCTTATTTATGGTTTTTACTATTTTAAATAGTATCATGATAAATACCTTTGGGTTAATAACATTGATGAGTATTTTATTAAATGTGGTCATGTACCTAGTGAGGTAGATACTTGTATTTGAGTTATTTCCAATTTGATTGGATTTCATTCTACTTACGCAGGTCTGTCCTGGTCCAAGAGCATGACTTACTAAGATTATCAATGGCTCTGGAGGTGGACAGCCTAAGTTTGACTTGCAGATCTATAACTTATTTGGTGTGTTACTTAGGCAAGCAATTCCACCTCTTTGAATGTTATTTTTTAATCTGTAAAATGGGTCTGTCAGTTATGTTTTTATAGCTGTGACATAAAGGGAAGCAAGGTTTATTTTGGCTCGGTGTTTGAGGATATATAGTCTTTGTGGCAGTCTAGGCATGGCATTAGCAGACTGCTGGTCACATTGCACCAACAATCAGGCAGCAGAGAGAGAGGAGATTTGTGGTGCTTATTTGGCTTTCTTTATTCTTCCTTTTTATTTAGGTCATGACTTTAGATCATGGGATGTTGCTGTACACATTTTGAATGGTGCTTCTCTCCTTAGTTAAACCTCTTTGGAAACTCACAGTCAAGTCCAGATGTGCCTACACATCTAAATTCTAAATTCCATCAAGTTGATAATGAAGATTAACCATGACAGTGGGGATGAGATAAAGATAGGTGTGCAAAATGCTTCAATAAATGTTAACCATGTAAAATTATTATCAATATAAAATCTAATTTATTTTTTATCTGTTATTGATTGAAGACTTGCATGTATATGACATGCAATTCCATAAATGCCTCTTTTTTTCTGTTAGCATAATCTGATAGTGTGTCCATTTGCCTTAACAACGAACAGAGCAGAGAATTGTCCACTGTCACTGAATGTCATCATAAATGTTAACTAGTGCTATGTAAGAAAAAGGGTATATGAACTTAGCATAATGACAGTCCAATTCCTCCTTTTTATTAAGTCTAGGACCCAAGCCCATGGAATGGGACCACCCATGTTTAGAGTGGGTCTTCTGACTCAGTTACTCTAATCTAGATAATCCCTCACAGATATATTCTCTTTGTCTCTGTCTCTGTCTCTGTCTCTGTCTCTCTGTCTCTCTCTCTCTCTCTCTTTCTCTCTCTCTCTTCAAGACAGGCTTTCTCTGTGTAGCTCAGGCTGTCCTGGAACTGGCTTTGTAGACCAGGCTGGCCTCGAACTCACAGAGATCAGCCTATCTCTGCCTCTGAAGTGTTGGGAATAAAAGTGTGTACTATCACTGCCCGTCTTCCTCACAGATATTCTTAGAGACTGACCTAATCTAGATAAAGCTTTCCAAGTATGTTCTGAAGCTTCTCTCCTTTGTTTTTATAATCCTGTCAAATTGAACATATTAACTGTCACAGAAGTCAAAGTTTTTGGAGTTTCATGTCTGCTCCCGATTTGACTTTTGTTGGATGTTAGCAATGTTACTTGAACACATTGAGTCTCCATTGTTCTCTCCTATGGAGTATAATCTACCTCATAAGGTTATATGGAATAAGAGCCGGGTGGTGGTGGTGCACGCCTTTAATCCCAGGATTCGGGAGGCAGAGTCAAGCGGATCTTTGTGAGTTTTAGGCCAGGCTGATCTACAAAGTGAGTCCAGGAAACGTACAAAACTACACAGAGAAACCCTGTCTCGAAAAACAAAAACAAAAAAATAAGGTTATGTGGAATAAATAGAGTAACCCATATAGATCAGAGTTTATGTAAATTATTTAGCTTGGTATCTGGCATGTAGTTACCAGTCAGTAACTGATAGCTATTATTGATCCTACTAGGAATTTTGGAGAGACTAATGTGTGGAAAAATATATTGGCTTAAAATTGCATTTTCCAAATAACAAGGAACCTGAAGATTCATACAAATGTCAGTGCTAGTTGGCACCTGAAATAGTATCCATTTATTTCTAATATAGCTCTGCATTGGAGTCATTTGGGAATCTTACTGATTTAGAGTCTCATGGATTTAGTTCCAAAGAATAAAAATTTTGGTAGTAGAACCCAGGGCTCTGATTTCCACAATAATAATGACAACAGTAGGAATTCAGAGTCCCAAGACAGGCTTTAGGCTCTTTTAGACTGTGCTTTCTTGGTTCCTTAGTATCTCCCATCCATCCA